TTTCCCTTTTTGGAATACGAAAGTTTTCCTGAAACTGAACATTCATTTTCAAAAAAAAAGGGGGGGGGATTTTTATTCCTATCCAAAAAACCTAGATACTTAAAACTCAGTTCTTTGATTAAAAATAATAATAATTTTTTATTATTAATAAAAATAATTATGGACTATGACTCTATCTCACAGCACCCATCTATATTTTCCTATTCTGAAGGTTGCTGTTATTTGTGAAATTAACTCCAAAGTGTTCATTATTTATAAATGACCCTAGAGAGCTTTGGCATGATATAATTTGCAATTTGCTAAGACAGAAAGATGAGTCACTATGAGTAAGTGGATATGCAGATGTAAGCTGTAAAACTAGGGCATAAGTCTTACTATGCATCAAATATCCTCTGTCCAAAGTAGTTTTTGTGTTTCTCTACTCAATCATTAGGCAAGATGGAGAATGAAAGTGGAAGAGCCTCTTATATTCATGCTGTCATACTTGGTATTATTTTAGATAAAAACAATGTACTATGAAGCCATTGCAATATAGAACTATGAGCCACTAAAGTTATCAAAGTCTGCTTTATATAGGTTGAGAAAGCACCATGGAAAAAGCCAGCTAGTTGTTTCACTGGAAAAATCTACAACTAGGAAATCAATAAAAGTTAGCTTTAAATTTCTAGGGTTTTAAGATTTTAAATCATTTCTAAGTACTGGCAATGAGACCCTTCAAATCATTTGTTTTGGAAATCATAAAATTGTCAAACAGTTGATTCAATTTTAAAGTCAAACAGATTTATGCAAGTGAAATCAGAATTTTCATTTTTGCAGTAAGTGAATCAGATTCATGTTTGGCTCTTTGATCACTTGGTAATGAGTCATTTGATTGGTATCTAATAATTTCTAAATTAAAAATTAATAAATGAACAATGAAATATTTTCTGTCCCCAAGGTTTAGTGAAATGGCTCATATAAATTTATTTCAATTCCAAAATAATCAGATATTCATGGAGAATAATTTAAAGTATTATTACTAGACATAATAAATTAAAATAATTCGTTTTATGAAAATAACATCTAGGAGGTTTTGAAAATCATGGTCTTTATTGGGTTAAAACTGTCTGCATCTGCGGTTCATATGAAACTTGCAGTTCTACTGTACTTATTATTAGATACAGACTCTGTGGTATCCCTCGCCCTTTTTAAGTTGGAATTTTTATTATGCCTTAGAGAGTAGCCTAGTCATCATGTCTTCTGAATTCAAATTTTGACAAGAGGCCCTTTCCTTAGGCTGCTGATGAGAGCTGTCAGTGACATTTCTCTGAAGGGGCACTCTATCTCATCCATATTAGACAGGCACTGTGATTTAAGCTCTGCCTAGTTAAAAATAGTCAAGAGTCGGTGTCCTTTTGCATTTTGGATTCTTTTCTGAAAATCTAAAAGACATGCTAACATTCTTGGTAATGGCTGTACATCTAGGGCAAATTTATTTAGTTTTTTTTTAATATATAAGAAGCTAAACTTCTCCCTAAATCATTGAAACTGTGATTTCTGCTTTGCTTTGGATTGGAATGGGGGAGTAATCATAGCCAAAATAAAAGAAAACAAGTAATAACAACTACAACAGAAATGAACCTTTTCTTCTGTTCTTCTGTTTTTTAATCTGTCCTCTAAAACATTCAAAGTTCAAAAGGCACATGCAAGAAGCCCCAATAGTTATGACTGTACATTATATTACACCAGAATGATGTATTTACAGATATAGGTTTGCTATTGTTTTTAGATGAATATTTGACTTTCTGAAAATCTAAACAAAACACCTAACTTCAAGTCTGCTACATCCAACCACATTCTAGATTATATCTGTATGGCCTTGTACAAGTTACCTATGACATTTAGTTTTCTCACCTCTAAAAATGTAAAGAAGCTTCCATACAACCATCTACAGGTAGTTGCAGTTCATGAGCAGCTGCCAAAGAGAGGCCTTCCACAGGCCAAGGAGCTGAACCAAGGAAATTGTAAAGCTCATTTTAGTAAAGCAGGTCCTGAGTCTCTGTTGACATTCCTAGGAAACCAGGAGTTCTTCCCTTGGACAAATGGGAATCTTGACCTGAAGCATTCATCCAGACTATTTGGGAGCTTTTGTGTGGACTAATAAAACAGTCAAGGAAAGTGTAGGAGGTGATTAATAATTGCAGTAGCTAACACTGTGGGGATGACAGGGAACTAGTATGTGGCCCCAGAATCCTAGGCCAAGCCACAATGAACTGTATTACTGATTCCTTGTTAGCCTCCCTGCCACAGATGACCCAAGTTTTATTTTTCTACTCCTCCAGGTGTTTCTAGATTATACCTGGGTTCAGATAGGAAACCTAAGGCTCTCAAGCATTTATCCTTTGGGAGACGGGGTGTAAACGTTTATGTGATATAACTGCTCTTTAGTTCCAGTGTAAGGTTTTTCTCCTTGCTAAGTATAAAGGTGCAAGGGAGTCTGCAGTCTGTTGATGCTACCCATTCTGGTTCCCTGTACTCAGTATCTTGAAAGAAAAATTCATGGTGAAGTTACCTCCAATTCCTTTTAGGTTAGGATATTAAACAAGAAGATCGATTTTAGCAAAGTTCAGTCAAGATGTGGTTCCAAGGATAACATCACACATTCTGCTGGGGGCGGAAATGTAAGTAGAAGCTTCTATCAGAAAGCTGATCTGATTGTGTAGAATCAGGTGCACAACCAGCACCGTGTCTCCTTTCCCGCCTCCTTCCTAGTGCACTACTCCCTACTCACTACTTTCCTCGTATCACCGGGTGTGGCACTTTTTCAGCCCTGCATTTGGGGTGATGGGTTTCCCCCTTCTTGCACAATCACCAGGGAATTTCTCACTTTCAGTGGGAAGGAAAACTGTTGTTGGGATGCTCCACGGTTTTCCTGAGGATGGCAAACCCAGCTCACCTACCAGCTTTGTCCGCTGGCCCTTTTGTCTTCAAGGCATCCCCTCATGCTGACTCTATCTTCCTGCAACAGTTAGCAGGGCTCACAATTTTCCATTTCCATTTAAATGATCTTTGGGGCAAAAACTGTTATACTTGAAATGCTCAAAGCGTTTAATGTCAGTCCTCAGCAGTTCATTATTCACGGAAAGTTAGGATATCATTTAGAAAAATACCGAACTGCTAAAGCGTGAAGCATGCTTTATTTATAATTTAAAGTGAGAGGATTCAACGTCTAGTGTACATGTTGTCTTAATGAGATTTTTCCTGTCCCTTTCATTTAGTGGGAATAATATCCCATGAGAGGAGATGACAGAGGAATCCACATTTTGTAAGTGTAGATGAGGCATGGTTGAAGCAGGCAAAGTCAAGCTGAAAGAAGCAAAGTTCTTCATAAAATAAGAATAACTTTCAAAGGTGAATCCGGTTGACTAGTGACTATTCTACAAATCCTGCCATCGAAAAACCAGGTTCTGATAATCTGTGACTCAAGTAACTTACATAGTATCAAATTCAGATTCCTCAGGAATCACGGTATAGCTCTTGGCTACTTGCTTCTCAACTGGGCAAATTGGAGTCAAGCAGTGAGAAGAAAGATAAGCAAGTGCCTCTGTTACCTGATCATCAAAGAAGCTCCACTGAGAATAAAAATATCATCATCATGGGAAGTCCTCAGTAGTATTTGCTGTGCTCCTTCAAGGATGGTGGGCTAAGCCTCAGGATTCATATTTACACTGACATGATTGCTCTCCTCCATGTTCCCCTAAGTGCACACCGTGCACTACTCTTACATATACAGTCCCAGTTCTAGTAATTGTCCTGAAGGTTTCAGAGGTTGGTCTTGCTGTCCTGCACTGCAGATGCTGCTGGTCAGAACACAGTGGACAAAGGATAAATTGGGGTGACTAAAGATCATAAAGTTAGTAAGATCTTCCAACCTTCAAAACAGTAGTTTTACACTTTCCTCTAGAGAAGAATCATTTATTTAAATGTGTGGGTATTCTTGCTTCATCCTTTGGTGTCTAATGTACATGTACAAGATAAGGGACCACATTTTCAGAAGCACTGCTTCAAATATTGAGAAAACACGTTCAATAAAATATAAAAAAGAAAAATGTTGCTACAACTTTATAATCTGGTATGCAAGAAGTATTCCATTTAACCAACATACTACAATTTAATAACAGTTTAGGAAAGCACATTTTAGAACTTTTTTCTTTTTGTGTTTTAAAGCAATGTTGGTCATCTTGTAACTATCAGCAACATTGGTCACTGCTATGTAAAAATCCCTTTATACAAAGTAATCCATCACTACTATTGGCTTTTTGCTTATGAAAAGATTTAACACGGTGTGGCTTAGTTCTCGGAGTGGAAGCTTTCCTCATTAATAAAAATGTTTCTTTACTTCTTTGATCTGATTTCTACTAATAAAATCTTCTGTTCCAGGATTTTCACTCACACGGGTTCTTCCTTCCAGACCAAATGGAAAGGGGGGAGGTGCATATAGGAAATTATGTTTTCCTCTGTGTGTGTGTGTGTGTGCATATGTGTGTATGTGTGTGAGAGTGCATGTGGGGAGAGGGGGGAGGAGAGAGAGAGGGAGAAAGAAGGAGTAGAGGGAGAGTGAGGGAGAGGGTGAGAGCGGAAGAGAGGTTGAGAGAAAGGCTGCTTTCTGGGCATGTGTTTTCTTGTGATTGTGTGTTTCTAGATTTCATGTATTAACTTTAATAACTTTTCCGTGTCTAAACTATTTTGTATGCTTTATGTGGTTCACTCAGGTACAGATTGTTACCAAGAAGATAGACTTAAGCCATGTGACATCCAAATGTGGCTCTCTGAAGAACATTCGCCACAGGCCAGGTAAATAAATGATTTTTAGTAATTTGACAATTATTTAGTTGTATTCAGGAAAGTGACAAGCAAACTGTTTGTTGCAGTTGTGAAATACCTAACTGGAAGGGCATTTCCAAATCCTGATACTTTCTGTATTTGTTAACTGAAACCTAACTAAAATTTTCAAAACATTTTTGTTTGAGACAAATTCCCTCAATTACCATGAATAGACTGCATATCAGGAAACAGACTAAAACTTAATAGAATATAAGATGCATGTGTTTCTATGTACACAACATGCTTACCAGAGTACTTTCAAAATACATTGCTTTAAAATATATTGGGTCATGTATTCATGTGTAATAACTTGGACTGAAAGAATTATTTCCCAACACTTGCCATGAAATTATTTTTTCTACATTATGTAAAATAAGGATTGTGTTTAGCACAACTGAACAAACTACTTACCTGATGAATATCTCAGATCCTTAATTAGGTCAATAAGTGCTACAATCCTTAGAAGAATACAGTGCTTCCCAATGTATATAACCACAGGCCCCCTCTTTTTAAAAAATATCTTTTAGGATGTGTGCTCCAAAGTAGAATTTACAGTCATATTTACTGGGGCTTTCCCCCTTTAAAAAACATATCTAACGTTTTTTTCTGAGCATCATGTAATACTTTTGTTGAATGCTACCCACACTTATATGAAATAGTGGATAAATGTGCAATTTGCAATTTTATTGACAGTCTTTTGACATATTTATATGTCCAATTATATGATGCAAGAACAAAAGGAAAAAAACATGACTTTAATCATCTACACTTGGAATCTCAACGTATAAACCAGATAAAGCCTTAACTCCCATTAATCATTTTCTCAAAATTTATCAAAAACAAAGTATAAAAATAATTGAGCCGAATTAAGATTTCTGGCCAGCAGGTGATTAAATTTATTGGTTGAGATAGGCAAGATAAGTTCACAATTAAAAATCAAATCAGAAATATCTAGAAATCAGGGTTCATTGTGTTGAAGATGCTCAGGAGGAAGTCAGGGAATACACACCAGCTTCCATTACAGTTCTGGAAATGCTACTGTAGAAGCAGCTTCTGTGCTATTCCTGAAGCAGCAGCAACATGTCCCGTATTGCATGTCTTCATAAAGTCCCCATCTGCAGCTAAAGTTTATACTTACTGACTCTGTACTGCTCTGTCCACAGACTGTCTGAGATATCTGGCCGCAGTGCCTGTTTTCTTGCAGAACACAAAAGAAAATGCCAGATTCTCTCAGTCTGGACAATTAAGGATAGCATCAGTCAAATTTACCTAGGAATTAAGATGCACAAAAAAATAAGGAAATGCTCTGTGTATGATTTTCCAGTCCTAAAGACTATTGTCATAGACTCCCAGCCATTTCTAAATCTATCTCTTGCTTCTGTTATGACTGAGTCAGAGGACTCAATTCATAAAGAAGTGTAGCGTGATGATCATTGACAACCGCAAGCTTTTCACAAAGTTACTTTGAAACATAGACAATCTAGGGAGAAAATAAAGAAAATAGTCCGACACCTGGAGGTACAAATTGAAATATCTGAACTTCACTTCTGAAGTTTCATAAAATTACACTTTCAAAATTACTGTTTCTTTTGTCAGAGTTCTTCAAAACCAAAAGTATAGACCTCTGAATTCAAATGGGTTTCTCTAAGAGCTGTGTAGAAATCATCAGAAATTCTCTTTTGACAGAAATAGACAAGAGAAGCTTCATTTCCTGAATATATTTTGGTTGATATTACATTGTTATTTTTCCTCTCTAAAAACTGTTCAAAGAAAATTTAACAAAATTATATGGATATAACACAAAATGCTTAAGAGAGCAAATTCTACTAGAAGCTGTCACAAAAAAATGCATCCCATCTAGTTGAAAGCCCAATATCCTCTAACCTCTATTGAAGATAATTGTTTTTATGAATCATTATGAGCCATGATAATGCTGTTGCAGCTGACAAGTGAGACCCACAAGGCAGGTAAAAAATGTGGGCAAAATAACATTCCTTGAAAGGATCCATACCGGAAGAATAACTACATGTCTCCTAGAAGCATGAGTTACCTAACAGTGTGCACATCCTAAGTCTTCAGGAGAATGAGTATATGTTTCTCCAAAATAATAAGTCAATAATACTTTATAATTGCAAGAGGCCCCTCCCAGACAGTTGGGTGTTAACATCAGTGTCATTTGTGTTGCATAAAACCGCAGCAAGGTTTAAGAGACCTGTGATGCCTTAACAGATTTCTCTCTTTGGCCTACAGAGATATGCAAGCATCAAGAATCCAAAATTAAGCAATCTTATCTATGTTTCCATAGATCCCCTCAGACATTTTTCCTAAATCAAAATCCCAGGGAAATGCAGATAATAGAAGTTCATCATCCATTACTAGCCTTCCAGAGGAATACATGTGGTTAAAACCAAGGTGCTAATGAAAATGACCCAAATCTTTCAGGTGCATGTAGTAAAAAGGAGTCTAATCCAGCTTCTTTTCAGGTCAAAGGCATCACAAACACTCAACAGTAGTCAAAGGAAGGGCTAAAGGACAACAGAAACCTATCCAATGTAGTAGAGCCCCTATATTTGGAAACCTGAGTGAGACATGCAGAAATGGGGAAGACCACACTGAAAGGTGGAGTGTGTCACCCTAACAGTCAGCAGAACCTCAAGTTTGAGACTGGTCAGCTTTAGGTTAAAATTGTCTTAATGTTGGTGGATCGGTTCAGTTTCAGATTGGTGCTGTACCTTCTGTACAAGAATCTTCTAAGATTCTTTTCCTATTGTGTGCTAGGTATAATGGGAAGATCTTAAAACTTACTAGTTATAAATAACTGGGCTCCCATTTCCTCACTGCAATTACCAATGTTGAAAATTGACAAATGACAAGGGTCATCTCTTGGGATTCATGGAGAATTGGCTCCAGGAACCTCCCGCAGATACCCAGAACCATGGATGCTCAAGTCTGTCATACAGAATTACATCCTACTCACATAGAAATTATATACATCCACCTCTAAATTTTAAATAATCTAAAGAATACTTACAGTATCTAATACAAGTGCTATATAAATATTTCTTATGTTGTTTAAGGACTGATGACAAAGAAAAAAGTCTATCCATGTTCAATGAGGATGCAACTGCTTTTCTAAATATTAGCAATCCAGGGATGCAGAACCTGTGGTTACAAAGAGCCAGCTGCATACTGTCTATACATGTACCATTCCAGTCACAAACTTCTTTGGAGAAACAAGTGTTTTTATTTCAATAGAAACAAAGTCTTTGTAGATAGGGAGGGAGGGCAAGGAGATGGAGAAAAAATGAGAACCAAGATCAATTATGTAAAGGTACTAATTTCCAACAATGAATGTCATTGTATTATATACCTTGAATGTACCAATAAAATTAATTTTTAAAAAATTTACTCCAAAAGACTAAAATATTCAGAGGATACAATTGAATATTTGTATTGTGTTCCTCTCAGAGCTTTTGTTATACCAATAAGAAAAGATCCTCTGATCTCTGACATATGCATAGGTCAAGAAGAAAGGTGTTAGCATACAGAACAATCTATATAATGGTATAAGAATGATGCTATTATTTTGAATCATTGGGGAAAAATATCACACAGACTACAAAGCCTAAAAGATTCTTTTTCACATCTGTGCTGAGAAAGATAGTAGGGTTAATGCCTGTAGTCCCCACTAATCTATTTACTGTACTCATTTGGCGGAAATAGTCATCACAAATATTAGAGTTTATTTTAGCAAGGTATTTAAAAGCCTTTCTCCTCTCAAAGGTGGTGGACGAGTGAAAATTGAGAGTGTAAAACTGGATTTCAAAGAAAAAGCCCAAGCTAAAGTCGGTTCACTTGACAATGCTCACCATGTACCTGGAGGTGGTAATGTCAAGGTAAGCCACACATGTGTTTTTTGGGAGAAAAAAATCGTGAAATACTCTTCAGCAAAATGGATCCCTGTTTGAAGATCTAGACAGACAGAAAGGAGGGATGGCAGAGCTGAGTAGGAGTCACATCCACACCAGCTCGGAGATACAGGGAGAGAGCTAGGGACCAGTCAAGGTGCTTGCGTTAATGAGGACGGGTGCTTGTCTTGAACAGATTGACAGCCAAAAGTTGAACTTCAGAGAGCATGCGAAGGCCCGTGTGGACCACGGGGCTGAGATCATCACACAGTCTCCAGGCAGATCCAGTGTGGCGTCACCCCGACGACTCAGCAACGTCTCCTCTTCTGGAAGCATCAACCTGCTCGAATCTCCTCAGCTTGCCACTTTGGCTGAGGACGTCACTGCTGCCCTGGCCAAACAAGGCTTATGAATACCATGCAGCACCAGAGTAATAGTAGACATGAGCCCTTGGCAGGAATGGGCTCTGAGCAGGTGTTACATTCATTCTTCACAAACCATAAGATAAATAATCTCATCCCCAAACTGTAGTAATTGTTACAATTTTATATAAAAATGAATAGTATATGCAGAAACCAACTTCCATTTGCAACAGGAACACACTGGCTTTACATGGGTACAATTGGACAATTATTTTCGCTCTGCTCTGTTTTGCATGGAGTATTATTATTATTTTTAAAAATGCATTTTTACCTTTCATGTGCCTGAAGGCTACCCATTACATTCTGAAAGGCCTTGTTAAAATCCAAGCTGCTCATTTCACTATTCTGTTTCTGGGTGAAAAGGTAAAAACTGCCCATCGTAACTTATTACAGGTTAAATGAAATCAAGGAGTCTGATTGCAGGAAGGGAAAAGCATGTAAGAAAGAAGTTTTTCTAAAGTGTTATTTTGTATAAATGGGAAGAAAGATGCAGTTAAGTTATTAACATTTGGGACCTGGATAATTATAGCAGAGTATCAATCCAATAAATTATTTAACTGACTAAAAATGTTGCAGAGCATTTGAGCTGTGGTTGAGGAAGTGGTATAAGAGTGCATCTCTTAGGAATAATGCACTTTCATTAGGATGGATTCGCATCTGATTAGATTATGTCAGTTGATCAGCTAGATTTATGTCCACACTACCAGTTCCACATCCCCTTTCCATCTGTTTGATACAGTATTATAGATATAAATATATATATATATTTCTCTGTGGCCATTTGTGATACTTCCTCATATACTTGAATATTATACTTCTTTATTCACAGTATCTGTGTCTCCTGCACCCTTTGGTGTTGCAATTTTAGGTATGTGAAAGTAGATGTTAGCAGGGTTCTCTCCCTATTTAAAAAATACATTTAAAAAGACAAAAAGTTTAAGCATGAAGTTGCTTTCTGTAAAGACTCAAAGCTGTAACCTTGTTTTTAGTGCCAGATACCAGTCTCTCCTGTGATGCTAGAAAAAATATTTTTCTTTGCTTTCACCAATATGGAGTGTGTAGGGATGGATCCACTTATACCTAAAAAACTTGATAGACTGTTGGTTTAAGATTATGGATTTATCTCATTTTTTAATCACAGAATAGTTTTGGTTTTATTCCTACAATCATTCATGAGACCAACCTCTTAGATTCTTTTTCTTTTTTTCATTTGCTAAAGTTGAAAAGAAGAGTGGTAATTTGGAACACGTTTTTCCGATTATTCCAAGAAGAACCTGTTTATTAAATTCTCTAATAGAAGATGTTTGGCCTCCTAACCCAAAGTAAAGATCATTTGACCAAAGGAAAAAATACAGCATTTTGAGAAGCTATCACTATAAAATATTTGAGACACAGATATCTAAATCAGTTTTTTCTATAGGACTTTACGTTGCACTCTGTAAAGGAACTCAGTGTGATTTATTTATCAGTGCATAATATTGTTCTGGCTTAATATAAAGTCTAAAAATTATAAGCCAATTAATTCCACTTGCAAATCATTCATTTTAGTAATGAAATAATCAGTTGCCTAAAAATAGGGCAGACTTACCAAACTGGACAGACATTTTTTTAGTATTTTATCTGTTCTTTCTCTTGCTCAGGGCTGGTAGGTTGGATCTAAAAAATTAAAGACAAGGTCTGCTGGGTCTTTGATCCTTGTGAGAAAAATTAGTTCCTGAATATAAAGGATGAGATGTAAGCATAGAATGGTCAGTAAGGAAGTAGAGAAACATCTAGAACAGAAAGCCAAGTAATGGGAAGATAGAAGACATAGATGCCATTTTGATGAGTCATTGGATATAGCAAGCAATGTGACTGCCGCAAGAAAGCCCTAGGAACAAAGGTCTCCATTCTTTCTCAGCTAGATTTAGACAGGCAAATATGCCTTTGGCCACTTATAAATAGGTTATTTTTGAAAAAAACTTAGCAACTGAGGAATAGGGATGTGACTGTTTTCAGCCTAGTAAATGCTGTAAGACTTGATTTGATCAATCTTGGCAATTTAACCACTTCCCTTGAAATATACCAGGAAATAGGAGAAAGAATAGTTGTGTGGAGTCTTAGGTATTTTCTTACATGTTTTGATAGTGTTAGATAGTGATTAAAGTTCTCTAGAAAAAAGTTAATAGCTGGTTAGAACAGCTTTAATCTATAGAAAAAAATTTTCAACCTGATTTAATTTTTTTTACAGTGAAGATTAAGTAAACTTGTTCTATCGAAATTCAAATTTTTCCAAATACTTGTCCAAAATGAAAGTTACATAAGGCACTAAATTAATAGATGTGGCATTAAAACAAGTGTTTATTCCAAATCTTAACAAAATTATAATGAATGAATAAGTGCCCTTGTTTTGTATGAAAATGTGATTGTTTATAAAATTAGTAAGGAACTGAAAATTTGCACCAGTAAGCAAGAGAAACACAGGATAAAATGTCTTCTTGTGGGGATATGAGGCGGATCCCATCTTGCCTTCACTCGCAAGCTAACGACTCAAATTAAGCTTTTTGAGCACCACTTTTGTGGGGACACCCATACGCTGATCTAGAAATGAAAACTTCCTAGTTCCATTTCTGGATCCACTGATGCCAGTTTCTCTCTGGCTTTTGCCTTTGAGAACCTGTTTAAAAATACATAAGTAATCCAGAGCTGTGGAGAATCAAAAGGCCAACTTCTCCAATGAACTCACGCTCTCCGGGTCACCTGCAACTAAAAATTGGATGCTGTGCAACAATGCATGGAAGATCCGAGATCATGATGAGTTTCAAAGGCCAGGTTCATGGAGGAACCAGCTCTCTCTGGATTCACCTGCTGAGGTCCAGCAGGGTGATGGGCTGAAGCCCCATCCATAAGCAAGACACCTGTGTAGAACCAGGTAGGTACGGCTGAAGAAGGCTGACACTACAGGGCCATTAAACAGGAGAATGTATTGAAGGCAGCTGCCCTCCAAAACACTCACAGTACGACTGCAGAAGTGAAGTCATCAGCCAAAATAGCAGCATGTCAGTATTATTAAAGAAATAGCTTGAATGTGGTTGATTCTGACACAGCTACAGTTATTGTTTCTCTCCCATTTTTCACGCCACAAAAAGGGAAATAAATGATTCATGGCCCAAGTAGCAAAGATAAAGTAGACTCATGGTTTGGGAAGGCAAATTCCAGGCATTCTTTTTAAGATTGATGGGCTTTCAAAATCAGCAAGGATTTATTTTATTTTATTTTTTACATTTAGAATTTTTAGCCTTAGGTGTGTAGGTGGAGGCCGAGTCCCGCTGCAGGAAAAATAGTACGTTCAAACTAAAAAAATGTCAATCATAAAAGTCCACTTCAACTTTAGCAAAAAGAAAAAAAAATCAACAGAAAGTTTACTCTGTATGCTGGGATTCCAGGGTTCCAAGAAGCCACTACAAATCTGTGGGGGGGGTCTTTCTTCTGATAATTCTAGAGCCTGTTACCATAGAAAGGCATTTCTTCAATGGCTGGTTGTAGTTAGTTCATGTTTTTCAATCACATTTGCAAATGTATTTGTTTCTGTATAGTGATTGTTTTGCAAAATAAAATTGCTTGTCACCTCACAGCTAGCTTGTTTTTTTTCTTGTTTTCCTCTTCATTTTGGAGGAGTGTGTGTGTATGTGTAGGTGGCGTTCAACTCAACTAAAGAATTGTGAAAAGGTTGCCATCTGCTAAATTCTTACTATGTGTCAGCCTCAATACTAGCTAATGTTATATTAACTCATCTGATTGATGAGGGTATTTGTTTTTTACCACAGCTGGATTCACAGGAGTAACAAAAACTCAAATAAAACTGGCTTGCACATAAAGTTGAATTGATTAGATCAAGTAGCCAGTTAGCTGGGTATGTCTGCCTCAGGCATGGTTGGATCTAAGCACTCAAGAGACGTGATTTAAAAAAAAAAAAACTTTCTTTTTCCAACTGTTGGTTCTGCTTCCTCTGTTCTTCAGTCTCAAACAGGCTCTACTGCCATGGTAGTACCAGAAATGCCCAGTTTCCCATCCTGCCAAAGACAGCCTCTTTCCAGCCAAAATGCAGGATCTAAAAATCAGTGAACGATGAGGTTCATCCAGTTATGCTAACTGGATGGACCAGGCTTGGGTATAGGACCAACTCTATTACAGGTGGGTGGGATAGGAGAAACTAAGGGGAAAAACAGCCTAATGTGAACTTCATGAACCAACCATGGAGGGGAAATGATTTTTCCAAGTGAAGTCAAGATGCTCCTGCTGGAATAGTGACGAAGTGATTTGTGTAGGTCATAAAAACCAATACCTCCTCATCCATACAACCCATTTTCTATCTTTATTCATGTTCTACTTCCTTGCTGCTCAAATTGAGCACATGCCTCCCTTGAGAGCATATTAGTAATGCAAATTCTCAGGCCCAAACCTGACCAGCTAATACAAGTTATAATCCCCCTAGATAATACATGTGCATTGTAAAATTTGAGAAACATTCAGCTCATCCAATTTCTGGCAAAAATTCTTTTAAAAAAGAGATCCATTTGACACTCTTACAGATAAAAAGTGTTCCTAAGATTATTTGAGGCAATATTAGTACCTCTGAGGTCAAGTAGTTGAGATACTGAGGGGTAGGAAATTGCCACTGGCAAAAGGAATACTTACATTTTAGATGCTTTCCATCCTCAAATATCCTAACTTGACTAACACCAATGACCTCTTCTCTACCAATGACCTCTTCACTTCCAATTCGTAATACAGACTTGGTATAATCTAGCCCAAATCACTAGGATTTCTTTTTAACAATTTTTAAAAATTAGCAACTCTGCTGTTCTCCAAAGAGTGAGTCTCTAAAAACTCAAAGAATTAGGACATTTGTCCAGTAGAATAAACCCCAGTAAAATTCTTAATTCCCATTTTTATTAACAAAGCAAAGACACTTATACTAAACTTGGAAAGAAACAAGTGACTCAGGTACACTGTAGGATGACAGGATAACATGCTGTAGCTTATATTTTTCTCTTTTCATTTATGAAGTGGCACTTACATTCTGAACAATATTAATTCAGGGATAGAATGCTATCAAAAGTACAACATCTAGCAACTTATGCTTGTTTAAAACAACACTCATTTACCAGTTTTTCTTGGACATGTTAAAGAAGTATCAAAGACTATTTACTTAGGCATTTGCTCTCCAACCTCTTTCTCCTTACCATTGCCTGGCTTTGACCTCTCAGCACTATTACGCTGAGCTCCACAGTCATTCTCTAGTCTGTCACAGTGTAGAGCCTTCAAGATCCTGCTCCAATCCCTACAAAGTTCTGTCTTACAGGCCTCAGCAGGACCTATTTCCCCACCACCGCCACCACTAACAGGCTCTGGAGGGCTGGGTCTGTATTTGACCAACTGTTTCAGGAAGCTCAAATGGGCACTTCAGAAGGTCTGTGTTGGCACCTAGCAGCCTGCTGACCTGCCATCCATTGATCCTACTTGCCTATTTCTGTCCCTAGACTCCTGCCAAGTTATAAGACTGGAACCTCAGGAAGCAATAGTGCTTTGGTGACATCCAGATGGGCAAATACCTGGGGCTCATATAATCGTACCTTGACTAAGATCACCAGTTACCAGTCTCCATCTGTCCCAGACCCCCTCATGTTGTTGCTGATGGAAACTGCCAAGACCACAGGACTCAAACTCAGTATGAGATGTACAGTAGGTGCCACAAAGGTGCCACAGGCTCCTGAGTCCAACAGCAACAGGAGGTATGAGCAGCTGATGAGCCCCATCGGGTGTCTTGGGGCTAACATGTGCCTGAGGTAAGGACTTTCTATATTCTGAAAATTCATCCCCATTTTAAACACCACCCAAACCCCAAATGATATAGACATTAATAATGTATGTTTATTTGATTAATATACTCAGGCATCCTTTTAATATATGTTGACTCTTGGGAGTTCTGCATTTATCAGTATTTCCATTTTATAGAGAGTAATAAACAGTTTCTTTAAATTTTAATAGCATAGACAGAATTCAAACTCAGGTGGCTAAAGAGATGTTTCATTTAATGTATTAGAGCTCACCTAATTAAATACCCTTAATAAACAATTTGTATATTAGTCAATAATAAAGATATCAGATGCATATATAAAATCTCTATTACAAAGTATAGAAAAATTATCATGTGCTTACTGTTAATTCAGAGAATGATGAAACAAAATTATGAATAATAAAAATATCTATGTATAGGAAATTATAGTTTTAAAAGATATCTAATGACAACTAATTAAATGAGAAGACATGAGAAAAATTTCATGTGGTTCTTTGTATCAAATTGGCTCGTACAAAGCATCATTTAATAAGTGACATCTGTCTCAAGTAAAAAGCAACCAACAATTTCTAAAATTTGACAATTTATTTGGAAATTATTAGGAAAATTGGATAAAGTATTTGTACTGCAACTACTCAACAAGCAGTTTCATAATTCACACGGAGAACAAGAGTTTCTAATGTATGTGATAATTTGTCATTTACTTATCATTTAAAGTATTAAAATCATCCTTGCTTCCAACACTATGTAGCTTTCTCAAAGGCAATTTTTCCTTTCTACATTATGACAAAAATAACAAATGTATTGCTTTCATTACAAGTATTTAGATTTTCATTGTCAAAACAGATCTACAATTCACTGCATCAAATATGAAAATGTCTGAATATACATTTAAATAGTCTTATATGATTTCTAATATTAGCAGAAAAATGCTAATTTTCACTAGAATTAGAAAAGTAAGACACAAATAAACACCACAAAAACTTCTCAGGCATTTTTCTGGGTTAAATGTAGAAAAAAAAAAAAAGAAAGCATTCTTTATATGGACAGCAAGGCACAAATACAGTATTTGTCTTACCTCGTGTTACCAGTGTGGTGATCAAACATGACTCAATCGTTATCAAAACACAAATTTATTTTTGTCTGTCACAGACCTTTACATATTATTCAGTGGGAGAAAAATCTTCCCCTGCCTCAAGCTAAAGACCTGGGCAAACCCACGACTTTCAAATCGCTTTTGGATAATAAAATTCTGTTGGCAGTATGAAGAATCTGTAAAGAGTTTCAATTTAGTAATTAAAAATGGCAGCCCATGGAATAGTCAGTGTACTGATCCTGATGGTGTAATGCCTGCATCATGGATTTGCCTGAGCCTGCAAGTCCATAGGACTGGGGTATTGCACTTCTCTTTTCTTCTCTATGGACACACACTTTCTTTTTTCTGAGGATGCTGGTTGTGCACCTTCTAGGCATCAAACTTGGCAAGTAAGGAGTCATTACTTGATTGGAGACCGTATGCTGTGACCATGATGGCTGCAGCCATTCTTTTCTCTTTCACAGCCTCTTTCTGCTGAGACTTCTGTCTCATCTAGGCAGGCCTGTTGGTCAGGACCCATGAAATCTCTCTCCAGCTTCCTCCCCTTCACCCAGAGCACAGGTATTAACTTTCCATTGATCCAGAGGTGGAGACAGAGCCTAACCCAGCAGGGCACCTCAGACCCCAAGCCAGAGCTGTCAGCCTCCCTGGCTACTAGATTTCCCCAGTTTGTCAGGTCTCCCAACATCTTAAACACATTTCAGGGCTCTCCTCCAGGTAGCCTCTTTGAATCTTCATTTTATTAAGCTAAGGGTAAAAAGTTAGCACATTTCCACATCTCCCTTAAAGTGTGATCCACAGACAGCATGGGTTTTCTATCCAAAGAAGAAACCCCTTTTCAATCTCCTTTTACCAATTTCTTTTCTGTTTCCCATTTTTGTGTCCTTTACTACATGTCAGGAACAAGTTTTTGATATAATTTTCATTGTAAATCTGCACCTGGGAGGGAGCAATTTTTTTACTTCCACTTTTATAACCTGCTGCCAATCAAGCTAGCCCCTTAGTAAATTCTCAGGCCTACTATTGGGAACCAGACTATGTGACTAGGGTCCCATAGAGTTCAATGCCTATATATCTTGCCTCAGTGACAGAAAAGTCAATTTAAAAAAAACTATGACTTTCTAGTTGTATGTGGGAAACTCATAAGCCTGGCACTCCTATAGTAAGATGATATCTTTTGAGGACAATGTAAGAAAGCTAGTTCCTTACTAACTTATGCAGACATGCAAATATGAGGAAGAACCTGTTCCCTTCTCATATGCTCCTCTTATTAAAGTTTAAACTGTTCTGTATTTTTCAAAATAACTTTTCTATCATTATTGTTCCACAAATGATGCATGACTCCCTCCTCCCTATACTGCTTGCTGGCTAATAAAAGTGGGTCCACTGGAAAGATTGTTGAGTGTG